GGCCCCGGAGGCCGGCGGTGCGCAGGGCCGAAGGTCCCGCGCCCAGGCTCTCGTCTGGCTTCCAGCGGGCTCTGCGGTCCGGGCCGCAGCAGTCGCAGAGCCTTCAGCCCTCCAGCATGTCCCTTCGCGGGGACAAGCCGCCCCTTCACGCTGCCACAGGCCAAAATTTCCACTCTGGCAGTGGGATGGCATTTCCAAGCTGCCGCTTTGTTCCTGGTTTGGCTTTTTTATTGTTGTTGGGGCTGGGGTTTTTTTGTTTATTTTTTTTCCTTTCTTTTTCCGATGCCCGCTCCTGTAACATCCTCACCATATCAGGAGCGGCAGAGCTGGGTGCGGTACCCGGGCTGTTGTCACTCGGGCTGTGTGCGGAGGAAATGGCCCCTTCCTGCAGCCGCAGATCGGGTTCCCCGGTCACTTGGCGCTGCTGGAGAGCTCATGTTCCCAAGTGTTCATCCAGGCAGCTCTGACCCACTTTGGGGGTGATTCCCTGGGAAAAAAGCTCCCTCCAGGGTCAGGCAGGTGCTTCAGGCAGAGCATTGCCCCGCGGGGGCCAGCCCCAGCTCCCTGTTGGGCGGCATGGCTGGGGACGAGCTCTCAGTGAGCCTGGGAAAAGGGTGTTCACAGGTTGGAGGCGGCTGTTGTGCCATCCGTGGGGCTGGCCGCCCTCCCGGCACGCCGACGGGCTGCCCCGCTTGGAGAGCTGCCGGCTGCTCCCGTCCCCACCCTGCCGGCTCATCACAGCGGACCGTGGGTGCTCAGTGGGACCACACAGGGTGACAGCCCCTCGCTGCTACCATGGTCCCCCTGCTTGGCCAGTGTCCCCCAGGGCATTCCCGGTGCTGGAGTACAAGGCCGGACAGGCCGGACGGGGCTGGGCACTGCAGCCAGCCAGGCCTGCTCCAGCCTGTGAATAAGCAGGAGACATTACCCCCTGGGCTGGTGCATGCCTCCCTGTGTCTTGGTGCATGGGGCTGCTCCCTGCAGTGAGGTCTCATCACCACCCATCCCTTGCACCCAGGGTTTTGTCTTCCCCGCAGCCCCCCGCCCCTGGTGGGGAGAAGGGCCAGGAGCTGCTGAGGCAGCGTTTCCCGGCGGTGGCGATGGAGCAGGAGGCTTTTACCAAATGGAAAGAGCGTGAGGCCAGGCATCGAGAGGCTGGGGGGGGGGGGGGGGGGGGGGGGCGCGCCCGCCG